AGGGTTGGGGACAGCCCCGTCCCCTCCCCGGGCCACCCGCGGGGGGCTGGCACCCACCTGGTTGTCCACGCGGAGCTCGCCCAGGGTGGAGTTGTGGTACATGGCCTTGATGATGGCCATCATGCCGGCGCTGGTGATGAAGTTGGATTCGATGTTGAGGCTCTGCAGGGTCTTGTTCTCCGTCAGCATCTCGGCCACCGCCTGCGTGGCACCTCAGGATGTCACCTCGGGGTGGCACCCGGGGCTGCGACCCCCCCTCTGGCACATCCCGGGCCACCGATGCTCCAGGTGATGGTGGAACAGCCACTGCCACCGTCACCCAGCCGTGCTGGTGGCCAGGATGGAGCTGGGGACAGGGGATCATGTTCCCCTCCCTGTCTGGGAGGTGACACCCAAGGCTGCCACCCCCCTGCTGCCACCCGAGGTGACACCCAAGGCTGGCACCCTGCTGCTGGCACCCGAGGTGACATCCAAGGCCACCAATGCTCCAGGTGATGGTGGAAAAGCCACCGCCACTGTCACCTGGCCTTGTTGGTGACCAGGATGGAGCTGGGGACGGGATTGTGTCCCCTCCCTGGCTGGGAGGTGACACCCAAGGCTGGCACCCTGCTGCTGGCACCCGAGGTGACATCCAAGGCCACCGATGCTCCAGGTGATGATGGAAAAGCCACCGCCACCCGGCCGTGCTGGTGGCCAGGATGGAGCTGGGGACATGGGATCGTGTCCCCTCCCTGGCTGGGGACGTGTGGGGACACAGGGGACACGGGACCGGGACTCACGTTGGCCACGGGGTCGTTGCTGCGGGTGGCCACCAGGCTGAGCTTCTTGACGTGGGTGTTGGTCTTCATGGCCTCGCAGATGGCCTTCAGCGTGGTGACCGGAATGTCCTGCAGCAGGGGACACGGACGTCACCGAGGGGTGGGGACAGCCATGAGTGGGTATGGGTGTCACCAAGGGGGTGTAAGTGGCATCAAGGGGCTGTAGATGTCACCAAGGGTACAGGGGTGTCCCTGAGAGGGTGCTGATGTCACCCAGAGGATGTAAGTGGCACTAAGGGGATGTGGGATGTCCCCAAGGGGACATGGATGTCCCCAGATAAGGACCAGCACCCTGGGGTGCCCTGGAGCCATCCCAGGATGGGGACAAACACCCCAGAGGTGCCCCAAGACAGGGACTGACCCCATGGGGACACCCAAGGGTGGGACCCATCACCTGGGGACACCTTGGGGACACGCTGGGGACCACAGCGCTGCCCCAGCATGGGGACCAGCACCTTGGGGTGCTCTAGGGACACCCTGGGACAGGGACCAGCCCCATGGGGACACCCAAGGGTGGGACCCATCACCTGGGGACACCTTGGGGACACGCTGGGGACCACAGCGCTGCCCCAGCATGGGGACCAGCACCTTGGGGTGCTCTAGGGACACCCTGGGACAGGGACCAGCCCCATGGGGACACCCCAGGGTGGGGTTTGGCACCCCAGGGGTGGGACTAGCACCCTGGGGACAGCTTGGGGACACTCTGGGGACCACAGCGCTGCCCCAGCATGGGGACCAGCACCTTGGGGTGCTCTAGGGACACCCTGGGACAGGGACCAGCCCCATGGGGACACCCCAGGGTGGGGTTTGGCACCCCAGGGGTGGGACTAGCACCCTGGGGACAGCTTGGGGACACTGCCACCGGGGCTGTCACCTTGATGTTGTTGAGGTTGACGTCCTCCAGGGCCGCGTCGTTGGCCTGGATCTGCCGCAGCGTCTCCTCCACGTTGGTGGGGTTCGGGGGCTCGTCCGGCACCGGCTTGTACGTGTCGGGCTTCACCACACCTGGGGACACGTGGGACAGCGCATGGGGACACGCGGGACGGCGAAGGGACCCACGTGGGGACATGTGTTTGCACGCACCCGTGGGGTCACCATGGGGAATCCCGGGCGGGTTCTGGTCCCCGAATCCCCCCCAAACAGCCCCGTTGACCCCATGTCCCCATGTCCCTTGTCCCAGGGGGTTCTCTCCCCATGCCCCCTGTCCCAGTGTCCCCTGATCCCGTGTCCCTCTGTCCCCTGTTCCAGGGGTTCTCATCCCCATGTCCCCTCTCCCTGTGTCCCCTGTCTCAGGGGGGCTCATCCCCATGTCCCCTGACCCCGTGTCTCCTGTCCCCATGTCCCCTGACCCTGTGTCCCTCTGTCCCCTGTCTCAGAGGGTCTCGTCCTCCTGTCCCCTGTCCCCATATCCCTCTGTCCCCTGTCCCAGGGGAGCTCACCCCTGTGTCCCCTGTCCCAGTGTCCCCTGTCCCCTGTCCCCTGTCTCAGGGGGTCTCATCCCCGTGTCCCCTGTCCCAGTGTCCCCTGACCCCGTGTCCCTCTGTCCCCTGTTCCAGGGGGGTCTCATCCCCATGTCCTCTCTCCCTGTGTCCTCTGACCCTGTGTCCCCTGTCTCAGGTGGTCTCATCCCCGTGTCCCCTGTCCCAGTGTCCCCTGACCCCGTGTCCCTCTGTCCCCTGTTCCAGGGGGGTCTCATCCCCATGTCCTCTCTCCCTGTGTGTCCCCTGTCTGTCTCCCCTGTCTCAGGTGGTCTCATCCCCGTGTCCCCTGTCCCAGTGTCCCCTGTCTCAGGGCAGCTCATCCCCATGTCCCCTGTCCCCATGTCCCTCTGTCCCCTGTCTCAGAGGGTCTCATCCCCGTGTCCCGTGTCCCCGTGTCGCCTGTACCAGGGGGGCTCACGCCCATGTCCCTTGTCCCCGTATCCCTCTGTCCCTATCCCAGGGGGTCTCATCCCCATGTCCCCTGTCCCAGTGTCCCCATGTCCCCATGTCCCCTGACCCCATGTCCCTCTGTTCCCTGCCTCAGAGGGTCTCGTCCTCGTGTCCCCTGTCCCCATATTCCTCTGTCCCCTGTCCCAGGGGGGCTCATCCCCGTGTCCCCTGTCCCCGTGTCCCCCTGTCCCCTGTCCCAGTGTCCCCATGTCCCCATGTCCCCTGACCCCATGTCCCTCTGTTCCCTGCCTCAGAGGGTCTCGTCCTCGTGTCCCCTGTCCCCATATTCCTCTGTCCCCTGTCCCAGGGGGGCTCATCCCCGTGTCCCCTGTCCCCGTGTCCCCCTGTCCCCTGTCGTCCCCCTGTCCCAGGGGGTCTTGTCCCAGTGTCCCCATGTCCCGTGTCCCCTGTCCCCAGGTCACCCACTGTTGATGCCCTCGGTGTTGGTGATGTTCCCGCTGCAGATCGCGTCGTAGTACTGCTTGTTGCTCATCAGCGTGTACATCCCCAGGATGGCTGCGGGACCGCGGGACGGGGGGGTCAGCGGCTGGCCCAGG